AAAATGGACATTGGTCAGTGTCTTCAGTTGCTGTGACCCACTGCTCATTACTGGATGCAGGACGTAGGTATAGAGTCTTGTTATATATATATATATATATATATATCCGTATAGTTTATATCCAGTTTTATAGATAATAACTTATTTTTCGTGAGTTAGATGTTTCGATACAGATTCTTGTACCGTTGTCAATACAAGAGTGATGCATAGATACATCACTCATCACTCTTTTGCTTGACAACGGTACAAGAATCTGTATCGGAAACGTCGCACTAATGAAAATAAAGAAGTTGTTATCCATAAAACTTGTTATATATTGTACGTCTCAACTTCTAAAAATGCCACTCAAACAAGTTATCCGTATAGTTGGAGTGTAGTCCTGAAAAAACTAGTCATAGGTTGTGTGCTGGCGCGATAAGGTGCCTGACTCTGACGGTGTGGGTTCGAATCCTGGATGGGACTCAACCTACCAAAAGTAATACTAGAATCTGTACTTTACTAAGAAAGTGTAGTACTAAATATAACATATGTTATATTCATTGATTCATGATACAGCCTCGATACTAATCCGTACAGTCGGATCATATATAGTGTAACAATACAATTCATATTGTCGAGATATTCTTATAATGCAATTCATAGAATCGTGTTAAGTCTTATAAAACAATCTGTATAGTTGGATTAAAAAGTCTTTGAAAACAATTACAGATTCGTGTTAAGTCTTATAAAACAATCTGTATAGTTGGATTAAAGTCTTATAAAACAAACTGTATAGTCGGATTATAGTCTAACAATACAATTCATAGAATCGGGATACAGTCTCGTAATACAATCCATCTAGTCGAGATTATAGAATATTCAAAACAATTCATAGATACATGATACAGTCCTGGGATACAATCTGTGTTTAATGTAGAAGAGTTTAGTGCTGATGTGTGTGTGTGTGCGTAAGTCAACTTAGAAGAGTTTAGTGTTGATGCATGTGTGTTAAATCAATGTAGGTAAGAGTCAGTTTAGTGCTGATACATGTGTGTTAAGTGAATGTAGAAAGAGTTTAGTGCTGATGTGTGTGTGTGTGCGTTCAGTCAACTTAGAAGAGTTTAGTGCTGATACATGAGTGTTAAGTGAATGTAGAAGAGTTTAGTGCTGATGTGTGTGTGTGCGTTAAGTCAACTTAGAAGAGTTTAGTGTTGATGCATGTGTGTTAAGTGAATGTAGAAGAGTTTAGTGCTGATACATGAGTGTTAAGTGAATGTAGAAGAGTTTAGTGCTGATGTGTGTGTGTGTGCGTTCAATCTAACTTAGAAGAGTTTAGTGCTGATACATGCATGTTAAGTGAATGTAGAAGAGTTTAGTGGTGATACATGTGTGTTAAGTGAATGTAGAAGAGTTTAGTGCTGATACATTTGTGTTAAGTCAATGTGGAAGAGTTTATGCTGATACATTTGTGTTAAGTGAATGTGAGAAGAGTTTAGTGGTGATACATGTGTGTTAAGTGAATGTAGAAGAGTTTAGTGCTGATACATGTGTGTTAAGTCAATGTAGAAGAGTTTAGTGCTGATACATTTGTGTTAAGTGAATGTAGAAGAGTTTAGTGCTGATACATGTGTGTTAAGTGAATGTAGAAGAGTTTAGTGCTGATACATTTGTGTTAAGTGAATGTAGAAGAGTTTAGTGCTGATACATGAGTGTTAAGTGAATGTAGAAGAGTTTAGTGCTGATACATGAGTGTTAAGTGAATGTAGAAGAGTTTAGTGCTGATGTGTGTCTGTGCGTTAAGTCAACTTAGAAGAGTTTAGTGCTGATTCATTTGTGTTAAGTGAATGTAGAAGAGTTTAGTGCTGATACATGAGTGTTAAGTGAATGTAGAAGAGTTTTAGTGCTGATACATGAGTGTTAAGTGAATGTAGAAGAATTTAGTGCAGATGCATGTGTGGTAAGTCAGTTTAGAACTGTTTAGTGCTAGGAGCCCGATTGATAAGTTTGAGGAGTGAAGATGTAGCCGCAGAATCATTTTATTTTCCACGTTGTGCATCACTGTGACATGTTACTTCTGCTCTACTTCACACAATAGGGGCTGTTTGGCACGTGAAGGACTCCGTCCAGGACGTAGATGATGCTGTTGGTTGCACGAATCGCGTTCATGATGGTGACCTTGTTGAACTGGTGCACGTGACCTGCAATGTATTTGAAACAAATGGATATCTTGTGTAACAGCACACGATTAGGTTTAGAATGCCAGGGTTAGAGAGAGCTAATATGAATGTGTCCCATGACACACACAGAATAACGAACACCTTCATCACAGTACTTAGAAGAGTTTAGTGCTGATACATGTGTGTTAGAGAGCTAATATGAATGTGTCCCATGACACACAGAGTAACGAACACCTTCATCACAGTACTTCTCAGTACCAAAGCAGTTACTCCATTCCATATAATCTTCTTCTTGGGGGTCTTATTAACATTCTCTAAAGCTCCCTGATATTGAGGATGTTATGCAATAGCATTTCGTGAGGTATAGCCAACTGATTCATAGCCTGTTGGGAAACATCCGACATGTAGTCCAGAGCTAACAGTACTGAAGAACGTGACCAGAGCCTTGGTAATAACCGACATGTAGTCCAGAGCTAACGGTACTGAAGAACGTGACCAGAGCCTTGGTAATAACCGACATGTAGTCCAGAGCTAACGGTACTGAAGAACGTGACCAGAGCCTTGGTAATAACTGACATGTAGTCCAGAGCTAACGGTACTGAAGAACGTGACCAGAGCCTTGGTAATAACCGACATGTAGTCCAGAAGCTAACGGTACTGAAGAACGTGACCAGAGCCTTGGTAATAACCGACATGTAGTCCAGAGCTAACGGTACTGAAGAACGTGACCAGAGCCTTGGTAATAACCGACATGTAGTCCAGAGCTAACGGTACTAGAAGAACACTGACCAGAGCCTTGGTAATAACCGTTACTTTCCATAAATGAACAGACTCCATACCGTATACCGGGAAATTTTCAAGGTATTAAAATTTCGAGGTTTGAGACCCCCAGAGCTTTCGAGGTGATTTAAATTTCGAGGTTTGGGGACCTAAAATATATAAATATTTTAGACAATGTTAATTTCGAGGTTAGAAGAAAGGGGCCAGAAACATCACTTACCGGACCAATACTCACTGAGCTATCGGCAAAACTCCTAGTAGCCTGTGATAACTGCTGTCTGACTGTTATAACAACCGGTATACCAGTCCATGGTAGCAATAATAGTAATGAAAACAAACGTTTGATCCTTTGTTGTGATAAATGGCCCATAAAACATTCTAACGGCAGAGTTCAAACATGACGCCATTTTTTTCTCAGACGATATTGTTTTCTTAACAACTAGTTATAAGCATGTATGCATGGGTCTCTGCTGAAACTATGTTGTTGTTAGAAAGCTGAGAAGTTGAACTCTTTTGTTTACGATAGTTTATTCATGTAAGTAGCTTGACTCAAACGTGCCATCGCACGAATAAAAGTTTGTTTCAGTCGATGTCGTTACATTTTAACGAGACAAAATGAGTCTAATAGCGTGGTTGTAGAGGTGTCGTACCTGGAAGTAGACATTTGTTATTACAGTAAAATCCTTTGATGTTCGGCCGAGGTAGATACATGTTGTTTTAAAGGATTAATGAGATGGGTGACACTAAAACTTGAACTGGTGAGTGAACTCGGAGTTCACTAATTAGTGATATGAACTCACTAGTTCTAACTATGAACATAGTTGCTGATATGAACTCACTAGTTAAATGACAAATAACACAATTATGATTATTTGATTGATATCAACTCACAAATTAACTATAGAATTTAGATTGATTGATATAAACTCACACTGGGTATATATCATGGTAATTCCACCAAGAATCTATCACTGTCAAAAATGGCAAACCAGCAGTTAGACTATAAGTTTCTCCCGACTTCACGTGGTGGACGTTATCTAGTTGTTGAAGGCTTTGTGTTTCGATTGAATCGAAGACGCAACGATGCTTCATGGGCATCTTGGAGATGCCAGGAGAAGACATGTGCTGCGACTGTCTCTACTGTGAACGACATCATCACCAAGCATCCCAGCCCACATAACCATGGACCTGTCCATAATGAGATAAAGGTATGTTGTGCGTAAATGTATCTATAAATTATAATATTAAAATGGTATAAAGCTCTGCTACATTTGTTCATTATTTGCACAATTTTAGACAAATGTGCTCGAAAAGCACTTCATTAGATTTATGCAGCCATAACATTACATTAATTTTGGTTATATCTTATTTACAGGTCAGAGAGACACTGGACAGGATGAAGATGGTGGCCAAGTCATCTCTGGGTCCGATACCGACGCTGTACAACGAGGTTCTGGCCTCAGTGAGCGATGGTCCTTGGACGGAAGAGAACAGGTCGTTCATCGCAGAAATGCCGACGTACGACACCGTCAAGAACAGACTGTACCAGGCCCGAAGATCCACCTTCCCACCCATCCCATCTTCCCGACGAGAAATCGTGATCCCAGACGAGTTCAAAACAACCAACGCTGGCGAGCCCTTTGTCATCATCAACGATGGCGACGACGATAAGATCCTTGGCATGACGACAACGGTGAACATGCAACATCTTTGTGCTGCCGAAGTTGTGTATGGTGACGGAACCTTTTATGTCTGACCATCACTCTTCCTGCAGCTGTACACTCTCCATGCCACCCAGTGGGTGGAAGGACATATACCCCAGACAGCGTGGAACCACTACCAGAACACCGGTCCAAGAACCAATAACCACCTGGAAGGTTGGCATGGTCGCCTTAAGAAAATTATTTCTAAGGCTCACCCCAATGTCTTCGAGATGTTGTCTTTCCTCAGGAAAGAGCAGAAACTGAACGAAATCAAGCTTGTTCAGTACGCTGCTGGGAGGAAACCGCCACCAAAAGGAGGAAGTACATCCATGTCGTCGACTCAAGACTAGAGACTCTGAAGCAAGAACTCGAGATGGTGCCATGAGTGTCATGGTTTACGCTGATGCCGTGTCGCATCTAATGAAGTCACAGTGAACTGACATTTAGTGTGTGACTTTGAAGTGTGATGCAGTAGACCTAGTGCTAAGTACTGAATGCAATGTTAATCATGCTTTGTGTATATTATTATTTAATTTATGTATGTAATATTAATGTAAATGAACTAATAAAATAAAATAGTGATACCTGATACTTGTACATGACAGTGTTGACAATATCATTTTTGTGATATTTGTGTATATTTATTGAACTTTATTGTATACATATGACTTTATGAAATAAAAGTAAGAACGAAACTATGCTATGTATTTTGTTTTACCTTGGGAATGGTTTGTGGATGTATTCCATCTATTTACCAGTTAACATTTTTGTATGACCCATGTGGTTGAAATAACATAGAACCTCCATTGTTCTCTGGAGGCAGTGGACTTGAAAATCCTTACATGCTCCACTGGTTTGTTGTTTTAAACATCACAAATGTCTACTTCCAGGTATGTAACCGTTGTAGACAGGCATTACAGAGTTAATGCGCATGTCAGGGAAGTCATTGTGACAATGCCTTTAAGGAGATATGTCAGGAAGTCATTGTTTGCCAGCAGTTGAAATGCTTATCGATAGGAGATCCAGCCCAAAGGTACGAAGTTCGGAAAACTTCATGGATAAAATATTTTTCGAGGTTGCGTTTCTAACCTCGAAAACCTCGAAAATTAGATACCTCGAAAGAGTTACAATGCCTTTAAGGAGATATGCCAGGAAGTCATTGTTTGCCAGCAGTTGAAATGCTTATCGATGGGAAATCTAGCCCAAAGGTACGAAGTTCGGAAAAATTCATGGATATAATATTTTCGAGGTTGCGTTTCTAACCTCGAAAACCTCGAAAATTAGATACCTCGAAAATTTCCCGGTATACGGTACAAACGTTTCCATTCGAATTTGGAAGAACAACTTTATGAAAACCTTTTATCAGAACAGGCGTCCAGTTCGCTCACTTGAATACTGACACAATTCAAGAGAATAATTCAAGTGCAAAACAAATTGTAATCATTTTCAGACTTTGCTTGGCCACAGTTTCCATGCTTTCCAAAGTGCTAAGCTCATGACAAACAATATGATCAACCAATGCTTTGTGTCTATCATGCTTAAAGGCCTTGTGCTTCTATCATATTGAAATGCTCAGTGTCTACCATGTGTCCATGCTTTGTGTCTATCATGCTTAAAGGCCTTGTGCTTATCATGTTGAAATGCTCAGTGTGTACCATGTGTACAGGACTTGTGTTTTCCATGGTATATATCTCACCGTTCTGCATGGACACGTGGATTCGCTGTGCTCCCCTAGGAGGTGATCATGTCGTTCTGGTGCAGGGACTCAGGGTCTCGGATGCCGTTCAGGATGTGGTACATCATTGTACCTGAAAATACCATCGATACTGTGCCTGATATGGCCGTTGGTTAGTGCAGATGTGTATAAATACCATTTGAAGAAACATTCAGTTAGTATTCAGCAATGCGGGAGGTTTTGTAGCAATAGCAAACAGGAGAGATGTACGCACTCTTCAGAAAATTGGCGTGATTGTCCAGGTTGTTCCGGTAGGCCATCGGGGAGCTTGCTGAACGCTGTATTGGTCGGAGCGAGGAGGGTCACTTGAGGTCCTACCGGAAGACAAATGATACATTATATATTCACGGAAGAGATAAGTTCAGCAACACACGTGTTTTTGTGTCTTTCAACACGGAAAGGGCTTCTTTCTGTCAAAGTAAAGTTGGTGTGTCCGTTCTACCAGAATATGTTAAATTAATGTGAAAGCATGCTAACGATTACACCCAGTATTCACTCAGAACAGCTAAATATTGATAGAGAAAATGTCTAAACGGTGGAAAAATGTCTGCAAGACGTAAGCATTTTACTTACTCTCGAGCTCGCTCCAGACTCCAGTTTTCATCAAGTCCGTTATCAGGGTGCTGAACTGGCCATAGCCCTGACTCAGAACACTTGACTGATACTACCATGCGTCATGTTGCCATAAGTACTTCAAGCTGCCATGTGTACCGTTGCCATGAGTACCGTTGCCATGTGTTATGTTCCCATGCTTGAGTACAGTTGAAGCCCCAGATTCCGTCGGGGCAAAAGTGTGCTGTTGCCATGAGTACCGTTGCCATGTGTACTGTTGCTATGGTAAGTACAGTTGACACCCTAGGTTCCTGTTGGGACAAAATGTTGTTGCCATGTGTACCATTCCCATGGAAGGTACAGTTTTACCCCAGGTTCCGTTGACGGAATATACCATTAGCATGCACGATTGGGTGATTGACATTGTTGGTGTTGTATGTGAAGTCTCATATGGGTACTGTTGCCATTGTTGTTTATTTCGGTAGTCCTGATCCCTGAAGCATGACCTTGCTCACAAGGAAGATGAAGCCGTTCGAGGCTCTCTTGTTGAATCCAGTTATATCCACACCGTTCACAAGCACTGACTGCACAAACAGAAACGAACAGACTCACTTGGGCCAAGGACTAAATCTACTCCATACAAATGCTATCTACCACCGTGTATATTTGATATGTGATCTCGCATATAGTCCTTCATTGATTATGTTTTTAACTAGCATATACCCTCTTTCTATATGAACACACACCCTATCCTGTCACACAATCATCTAACATACACCTTCCCCTGCACACTGTCAGGAATAGGTTCTATCTAGCATACACCTTCCCCTGCACACTGTCAGGAGTAGATTCTATCTAGCATACACCTTCTTCCTGCACACTGTCAGGAGTAGGTTCTATCTAGCATATACCTTCCTGCACACTGTCAGGAGGGGGTTCTATCATTAGCATATACCTCCCATGCACACTGTCAGGAGTGGGTTCTATCTAGCATACACCTTCCTGCACACTGTCAGGAGTGGGTTCTATCTAGCATACACCTTCCTGCGCACTGTCAGGAGTGGGTTCTATCTAGCATACACCTTCCCTGCACACTGTCAGGAGTGGGTTCTATCTAGACATACACCTTCCCTGCACACTGTCCAGGAGTGGGTTCTATCTAGCATACACCTTCCCCTGCACACTGTCAGGAGTAAGGTTCTATCTAGCATATACCTTCCCTGCACACTGTCAGGAGTAGGTTCTATCTAGCATACACCTTCCCCTGCATCCTGTCAGGAGTAGGTTCCATCCCTAGCACACCTTCCTGTCAGGAGTGCCAGGTTCTATCCATCTACCTTCCCTGCACACTGTGGGGAGTAGGTTCTATCTAGCCTGCACCTTCCCACACTGTCAGGAGTGGGTTCTATCCTAGCATACACCTTCCCTGCACACTGTCAGGAGTAGGTTCTATCTAGCTATATTACCTTCTGCACACTGTCGGGAGTGGGGTTCTATCTAGCATATACCTTCCCTGCACACTGTCAGGAGTGGGTTCTATCTAGCATACACCTTCCCTGCACACTGTCAGGGAAGTGGGTTCTATCTAGCATATACCTTCCTGCACACTGTCAGGGGAGTAGGTTCTATCTAGCATACACCTTCCCTGCACACTGTCAGGGATTAGGTTCTATCCAGCATACACCTTCCCTGCACTGTCGGGGTAAGGTTCTATCTAGCATGCACCTTTCCTGCACTGTCAGGAGTGGGTTCTATCTAGCATCCACCTTCCCTGCACACTGTCAGGGAGTGGGTTCTATCTAGCATACACCTTCCCCCACACTGCTTCCAGAGTAAGGTTCTATCTAGCATACACACCTTCCCTGCACACTGTCAGTAGTGGTTCTCCATCTAGCATATACCTTTCCCCTGCACACTGTCAGGAGTGGGTTCTATCTAGCATACACCTTCCTGCACACTGTCAGGAGTAGGTTCTATCTAGCATTTCACCTTCCTGCACACCATCAGAGTGGGGTTCTATCCAGCATACACCTTCCCTGCACACTGTCAGAGTAGGTTCTATCTAGCATATACCTTCCCTGCACACTGTCAGAGGGTTCTCATCTAGCATACACCTTCCCCGCACAGACTGTCAGAGTAGGTTCTATCTAGCATATTACCCTCTGCACACCAGGAGTGGGTTCTGTATCTAGCATATACCTTCCCTGCTCTCACTGTCAGGAGTAGGTCTCTATCATCTAGCATACACCTTTCCCTGCACACTGTCAGGAGTGGGTTCTATCTAGCATACACCTTCCCCTGCACACTGTCAGGAGTAGGGTTCTATCTAGCATACACCTTCCCTGCACACTGCCAGGATTAGGTTCTTATCCAGCATACACCTTTCCTGCACACTGTCAGAGTAGGTTCTATCTAGCATATACCTCCCCTGCACACTGTCAGGGAGTGGGTTCTATCTAGCATTGGGCACCTTCCCCCTGCACACTGTCATAGGAGTGGGTTCTATCTAGCATATACCTTCCCCTGCACACTGTCAGGAGTGGGGTCTCTAGCTAGCATATGCCTCCCCCTGCACACTGTCAGGAGTGGGTTCTATCTCGCATACACCTCCCCTGTACACTGTCAGAGTAGGTTCTATCTAGCATATACCTTCCCCCTGCACACACTGCCGTGAGTAGGCTCTATCTAGCATATACCTCCCTGCACACTGTCAGGAGTAGGGTTCCTATCCAGCATACACCTTCCCCTGCACACTGTCAGAGTGGGTTCTATCTAGCATACACCTTCCCCGCACACTGTCAGAGTAGGTCTCTATCTAGCATATACCTTCCCCTGCACACTGCCAGTAGTAGGTTCTATCTAGCATACACCTCCCCCGCACACTGTCAGGAGTAGGTTCTATCTTAGCATATACCTCCCCTGCACACTGCTTCAGGAGTGGGTTCTATATAGCATATATACCTTCCTGCACACTTCTCTCAGGAGTAGGTTCCATCTAGCATATACCTTCCCTGCACACCGTCAGAGTAGGTTCTATCTAGCATACACCTTCCCTGCACACTGTCAGAGTAGGTTCTTATCTGAGCATACACCTCCCC